AAAGATTTTATGAAATGTCATGCACGCAATATGATACAAATCATATAACCTGGGCAAAGGCATGGGGAAATCAAGTTTTGGGGGATAAAAAGGGAAATTAATGTGGGATAAAAATATATTAAGCAATTAACAAATAGTGAGGCAATGACACCATAAGCTGATATCCAAATTGGCAATTTGTGTAGTGATTTTCTAAGCTCAATATTTTTTCATACCTTAAAAGAAATTCATAACTTATAGTTATCCGATTTTACTCAAATATTTTGTTGTCTGTTTCTCTTGTTTTTCTGCATCTATTAAAATCATTTTTTGTTTTGGAATGGACTTAGCCTTTAATACAGTCAGGCTCACAACCTAATTCTCGTCATTGGTTTAGATAACGTTTAAGGATAGGCTAACTAGAGATATAGACAGGCTCCTGGCCTAGAGATATGATAAATTGATATGTATAAATTATTTATGATTCTATTTTAGTTCAGTTCTTTTTGCCTGGCGAATAGCTAGCTGGCCTGTTTACTGTAAATTAACAAGTGCTTTGTCCACACACCATTCCAACAATTCATGACACTCCTTGTAGTTAATCGCCTCACCTACCATCACAGTATAGCTACTGAGTGAGATGACAAAGGGATAACCCAACCAAGTACCAAGTACCAAGTACAAGTACATTGGGTTATAATCTGACGTCACTTCCGTTTAATGACCTAGGCCCGATATAGCGTGACCCAGCAGGGAGCCAGCTAGCCAAAGAATCAAGGTACCGTATTGTCATTTTTTTCAACCTTGAATATTATAATTTCGACCTTTACCTTTGATGATATATTTATTGTTACGTTAGGAAGATAACGACTCCTCAATTTAACGATAATTTATATTATAACTGATCTAATATTGAAATTCCTAAAAATGACCCATGGCCAGTTTGGAATGTTCGGTCCCACCTACACAATTTGACGTCATGTGAATGGCCGTCTCACATTAACGTAAGATTTTATATCCTACACCGACAATTTCTGTCTCTTTTGTTCGTTAGCCTCTTATTTAATTGGGTATGGTCGGCTCCTCTCCAACCCTACCCTACAAATAAGAGAATAACGAATGAAAGAGACAGAAATTTTTGGTCTAACATAGGTCTAGTATAGAGTAAAGGAGCCCGTAATCGGCCAGCTCCCGTTTTCGGCCGATTGGTTGGATACAAGGTAAAATCACTCTAAAATACATCGCATAATAGCATAACACATATCCCACACATACCATACCATGCCAGTGTCACTGAAGAACCACATTTGCAATGGAAAATATATCCTAAAATATCACATTTTAGCGATGTAATCGCCGGTCCCGCTACCCAAATCTGAAAAATCGAGTAGAGTAAAGTACCCGGTAATCGGTCAGCTCCGGTTTTCGGCCAATTGGTTTGATACATGGTAAAATCACTTTAAAATACATCGCATAATAGCATAACACATATCCCACACATACCATACCATGCCAGTGTCACTGAAGAACCACATTTGCAATGAAAAATATATCCTAAAATATCACATTTTAGCGATGTAATCGGCGGTCCCGCTACCCAAATCTGAAAAATCGAGTTTCTTACGCGTGTCTGTAAGAAATATGGGTACCATAAAATGAGCTTTATTTCAAGTATTTTTCAGATTTAAAGCCCGATTTTGTGCTAGTCGCAAGCTCAAAAGTATGTCATCGCATGTATTAAATCAATGCAGCCGCACACCGCGACGCACACACGATATCTCTATCTAATTCAGATTCCAACTTCCGATCACCGCTGTGCCCGTCTTCGGCCAGGCGAGCACCAGGGAGCTCCGGCGTGGGATACCTGCTCCGCCCGCTTGTGCTGTACATCAGCGCGGAAACGCACGGCGCGCGCGAGCGCTTCCTATTGACTTTGTACATGCGGCCGTAAACTGAAACGCTCGGCCGATAACGGGCTCCAAAACAGTGAAAATTGAAATGGATATTGTCATGGCAATTCGTGATTTTTTTCTGGGATTCTTTTTTTGTGTAAATAATAATAATATTTGCTTCATGATTTGAACAAGAAATGATAATAAATAGGAAGTAAAGAGTCCTAAAAATAGGATTTTGTCTTAAGTGGCCGAAAACGGGCTACTTTACTCTAGATCTAGATAGGGAGGCCAATGCCCAAATCTAACTTTTTAATTACTAATTTGTTTATACTAAAACTAAGATTAAAAGAAAGCATTTACTTTCACTAAGAAAATCCACCCATCTGCCGACTCCAGAAGTTCCATCAAATAGGAGATATCCAGCTAGTTCCTATGAGGTTCCTTCTACGCCTTTCCGTACGTAAGAGCCTTGAAACAATTATATTTCATGTCGCAAAGTTACGTTCATAATTAGACAGGCCCGAGGGACAAAGTTCATGATGAAGTTTAAAACTTCGCGCGAAAGTGCAATCACTCAACAGCGGCTAGCCTTGAATCGGTCGCACACGTACACACCTTCTTCTTCTTAGTTGATCCCACCACCGACACAGGCAAGCCCCGATGCAGGCTGAAGTCCAGCCATCAATGTGCGAACGATTACATCTTGTACTACTACGAGCCGAAGACGATGGTTCAAAAATGAAGAATAGAAATATATATAATTCATTGATATTTACCTTAGATGTGCATTCCAATAATTTGATTTCCTCATGAGTATTCCTTATTATCAACGATCGAGAAGTTACGAGGTCCAATTAACATCCATCTTGCAGCGAACACAATCATAGCGCACATCCATGCATGCAACGTACCGTACGTACGTGTACTAATATTTCTCTCACTCTCTCTCTCTCTCTCTCTCCCTTTCGCTATACGTAACATACACACTCACTAACCATGTATCATACAACACACACCTTCAAATCATGGCTTTCATTTCAATTCTCAATTGGAGTATAGACTGCTCACGTAGACTTTTTTTTTTACTGAAATATCTTTTTTAACACTTTTCATACATTACTGCACGACACTCGTATCTAGTGCTGTGAGAATAAGGTACTAGGGTCTATAAATAAGACTACGCTTTGCGCACGATCTGACCGGAGCTCAGATTATGTCGCAATACCCTTTATTTTTGGCGCGAACAATGACGTCACTGTTCACTGTTTTCCTTCTCATTTTGAGATGGATGTAGCTATAGGGCTCAAACCAACGCACGATTGACAGAAACATCGTACTCTATCTACTTTCGAATGTTCAGTTTGTAAAAATCTGTATTTAAAAAGATATAATCTTTTTTCTTTATATTTTCTAGTTGTTAGAAGTGGCAATTGTGAACATCTGAAATGTTGATCTCTATCAAAAGTTCTTTACTCAAAACGGATCCCATATTTTTAGGGTCTACCTTCTGCCAATGAGAAGGTTTTTAGTGAGCAAACCTCTACGCCCTCTAGGATTTTCTTAGTCGGTGGTGCGAGTGCGTCAAGGTCGTCTGCAACCACAATTATTGGATTAAAAAACGTCAAAATCTGCAAGATTGTCAACAAATGGTGAAAGACTGTTACAGATCCGTGAGTATAGGTATGTTGTGAAATGTATAATTGTATTTTCTTTTCTTATTTTCTTCAATTTGTATTTTTACATCATTTTTTTCCCTTTGCTAATTTTTTGAAGTGGGCGACGAGCGCACAAATCGTAAGTGTAGAAGCCTTACGCCCGGGCATTGGCCTCCCTAATCTAGATCTAGGTAACAGTGTTGTGTTTTGCTCGAATTGTTGTTTTCTTTTGTTTGGGGAATGGGGACGGGTTTCTTTGTTGTTGTTGTGTTTTTTTTGGGGGGGGGGGTGGAACAGAAGGTAAGCTCATTAATGTACATGTATATTAAGAATCAGGCAACGATTTTTTAAAACTAAAGTAGATTCTAAATAACAACAAAACCAAAAAAGGTAATCCAAAATGGGAAAAAAATGATGTTTTTAAGTCTTTAGAATAGATAGGGTGTTTGAAAGATTTTTCAATTTTCCCTTTTGGAGCATTTACCACTATGGTTAGATAATTGAAAAATTCATTTACTCAGAATAATACAATTCAAATTTCAAGAAAGACTCACTGATGTTTCTATGAAAAGATACAGCCGCGCCCCCCCCCCCCCCCCAAAAACAAAAAACAAACAAACAAAAACAAAAACAAAATCTAGGCAACATTCATACAATTTTTGTCAGAATTATAGAATAGACGAAAAAGACGTACACGCAGAGTTATTTTGTTTTGCTAAACAGCTGCATTGCGCGATGCAAGCGTAGGCGTGTTGCTAAGCTGCAGCGCTACTTGTGTGCAATCGGCAAGCTCTACCTCCATTGTCTTCAATGTCATGTTCATCCGCATGCGGTTCCATTCGCCGAATACACAAACACACACCCGACCTGAATTCATGCATACAAAGACATGTCCGAATGCACACACGCAGTACTATGTGTACGAATGCTTGCGACACAGGTAGCAGACACAAGAATCGCTTCGCACAGTTAACGTGAAATACATTTGCATGTGCAGATTTTACGCGCCGTCACTATGAATTTGGGCTTAGCAGAGTCACGCCTCCCTATTTAGCTGATTCAACAAATGAGGAGAAGGGTATTTTCAAACTTTAATGGCATGTGATCCCTTGGGGCTAGCGAAAAAATAAGTGCATGGATATATTCCTTACAGCTGGCCCAACATTTTGGAGCCACGATGGAAACAATGTTTAAATTGCGGTTTTGATCAAGATATTTTTAGAGTTCCGAGATAACGCCCTTTTTGGCATATGGAGGAGAACCTGCTCTTTCATATGACACCTCATTTGTTGTGTATAGCCTTCAAAATCACAAAGCAGGCAGCTAGATATATAGGTTCACTGTTCGTACACTCTGAGTTCATAAAAACATGAACTGGACACAAATTTGATTGTTTGTTTTTGTTTTTTTTTTTTTTTTTTTTGTTTTTTTTAATTTCTTTTTTTTCCTTTTTTTTAAACTCTGGTTGTTTAACTTTGTTAGGTCAGGAATATTCCCGAAATATAGAAGGGTAGAGATTTTTTGGACACTTACGGCAAAATCCAGCATTTTGGCTCCTTTCTTTTAGTATTATTTTCACTTCTTATTGAAATCATGAAAGTTAATGTTTCAACAACAACAAAATCCAGAAAATACACCCCAACTATTTGTATTTTATATAATGTATGTTCTCGCCTTATTTCTATATATGTAGTTGGCTGTCAAAACCTGGGCACACTGTACTATGCATCACCTTTCCAGGCAAGGCCGGTGTCACTGCTGTTACTGTTAGAGAAAGATGGCTTTGCAAGACCAAGAAATTGTTCTTGAAATTAAGCAGGAGCCTTCGTGGCAAAGTGGTAAGTACAGAGTAGACTACAATCATACAATGGATAAATTGCCATTTGGTCGAATACCAGTTTATTCAAAGTTCTTTTCAAACCCCAATTCATTCAATTCATTTCCCCTGTTGTATTTATACGAAATTCTAAGTGTAGATCTTTATCTTCGTACACTATCTAGCAAATTGATTTATGGTCATTTTATTGGTCAATATGCAAATTTTAATGGATGAATCATTTATCGGTCAGTATTCAATATTTACATGATTAACAATAATCTTCATGAAAGAATAATTGTATAATGTATTCTTTGAGTGTGTGCATGTATGTGTCTCTTAGAATTAATCAAGGGATAACAAGTTTACTTAATCCTGTTTAGAATCACAAAATGCACACATACAACTTCGGGGTAAATGGACTACACACTCATAAGGCATGAGAATTTGGTCCAAAGTTTTAATTCATTACTTTATGTAGAATATGTTGAGGCCTGAGGGCATTTCAAGAGCAGCTCGTTTTACATATACATGTATGTATATATTTTTAAAGTGCCCTGTAATACAGAAATGGCACTCATGGCACTATGATAGATGTTTGACCTATGGAAATAAGTATAAAAAAGGCTACATGTACATGTACATGTACAGTACATTGAAATTTTGATATAATAAATAAGTACATTTGCATATCTACAGTAACTGCTTTGTGTAAAAATTGAAGATGTTTTTATTGTTCTGGAAATGTTTCTCGACTTATTTCTGATGCTACATGGAAATGGTGCGAAACGTCTACAAGTTTAATCCTGTTCATGTGTCATGTGTCACAACTAATATCTCTTATAAATAATAATGATATTCCGCTTTTATATAGCGCTTAATATATGTACGATGTCTCTAAGCGTTAATATATAATATACTATAACCTCGATCATTGGATTCAATACTTGCCCGCACATACTGTGTTTACAATCTCCACTCCCTGGGGAGCATTCCAGCCAGGCGTTACTTGACGCTCAAAAACTGTTTGACCAACAATGACGGTCGCATCCTACCGGGTAGAGAGTAGCAAGTGCAGGTTAATATCTTGCCAAAGGATATTAGTGCCATGTCGGGATTTGAACCCTCGACCTTTGCGTCTCCAGTCAGACGCCTTAAACAACTCGGCCACAACACTCCTTCTAAAGTGCTTTACCGACCAAATACTTACTGTATAATAAATACCCTAGTCCATGGATTCATTTACTATTCTGCACATTAAATTTCACATCACCCACTTCCTGTCCAGCTTTCCAGTTAGTCACTTTTTTACGGGTACAACCACACGCACGCTAATGCAATCCAGTGAAAAAAAGACATGGGGGCTCGGGGCAAAATAGCCCCCAAAATCAGAAAAGAGCCCCCATAAATTTGCATAGAGTTCAATGCAAAACAAAATTTAGAATGTTAAATTCATGCAGGCAAGCTTGAAAAGTAGCCCCCGAAAAATAAATATTATTTTTTTCCCTGATGCAATCGCATTGACCTACTCGTCCTGCCAGGCACCCATTTAACACATGGGTGGAGAGGAGCAATGTAGATATTAAAAATACCTTGCTCAAGACCATGAATGCCGTGCCGGTGTTTGAACCCATGACCTTTGCATGCCCAGTCAAGTGATTGAACCACTCGACTATAACTCCTCTACTACAATGTTCTTCCACTTTATATATGGTCTAAAGAATTAGAGAGCTAACAATTTATTTTTACCTTTACAAGAACTCTTATTTCTCCTGGAGATAAATATATGAATGATAATTAATTTAAATCATTTACAACTCTCTCTCTCTCTCTTTCTTTCACTCTTCTTTCTTTCTTTCTTGCTCTCTCTCTCTCTCTCTCTGTCTCTCCCGCTCTCTTTCTTTCTCACTTTCTCTCTCTATCTCCCCCTCTCTCTCTCTCTCTCTCTCTCTCTCTCTCTTGATTCCATCAGAGTACGGTTCCAATCAAGAAGGGTATGAGATGGGTTTCAAGGAAGGAGAGGAAAGGTCCTCCAGGTCACCTGATTCCCAAGGTGAGTGATCAGTTCATCACCTGACATGTCACATGACAGTGATGTTTACTAACAGGAGCTCGAGGTTGGACAGGGGAGGGGGGTAGAAGTTCAGTTTGTCTGCAGATCCTTGTATTCCTAATATTCTTTTTTCCCAGATTTGAGATTCTCATCTGCATTTCTTGAGGGAATAAGCCAACTTCCAATTAAAGAAAATGTATCTGCGAGGCCAACAAACAGAGGACAAGAGTGATTCGTAGTCAGAGTAGAGTTGCAGTGTTAAGTGTTTAGAGACCTTTCTGATGATATGCACATAAACAGATTTGTAAATCATTGGCAATATTCTTTGGGTTTGTTTATTCTACTTCTCCTCCTCTTCCTTCTCCATCCCCTCCTTCTTCTCCTCCTTCTTCTCCTTCTCCTTTTCCTTCTTCTCCTTCTTCTACTTCTTATTTTTTTTCCTTCTTTTTGGCCTGCTTAGAACAACCCAATGTTTGGTACAAGAAAATTATGAATTCTTTCATTTTATTTCATTTCAGTACATCTTTATTTCACTAACATATAATTTTAAAAACTCATCAATATAACATAGATATTAATCTGATGATGTAAGAAGAACAAACTTGCATACAACAATAAATTAAAACATATGTAGATATTGATGGGTGGATAATATTGATAAAAAATATTTAAAAATTGTTTGTGAGGCATACCTAAAAGGGCCTAGAGGCCTATGGGCAAGGTAGCCCATGTAAGAATAGATACTATTTTTTTTTCTTCAAAGAACACAATTAAGGTTGGAGCGTTAACATAAAGAAAAAAGAGAGGAGAGTTGATAAAGTGAACTGAGAGGGGAAGTGCATTAAATAAGTACAGGAGAAAGGGGAGAGAAAGAATCTATCTCTAGATGAAACATTGACTTACAACAGTGACTTTCAGACCCTTTCACAATACTATTGCACAACTTTTACTCATCTTGACCCTTTACAGGCACAGAAAACATCGAGATGGAAGAGCTCGACAATGAATCAGCGACCGTGGAAGATCTCGGAGAAGAGTGGTGTGAGGACGAGACTGGTAACCTGTGTGATCCCCTGTGTCACATGAGCTCTGATGTCCTGGGGTCACCTGAGTCGTCGGACGGAGGAGATGCAGGGAGCTATAGCTCAAAGAGAAGTAAGCAAATACCTTCAATATCAGACACATTATTAGAGATTTATATACACGTATATATACAGTCAAACCTGCTTTAGTGACCACCTGTCTACAAAGACCACATTTTTGTGTTTCCCTTGGGCAGTTGCTATAGACAGGTTTGACTGTATTAGTACATAGTACACTTGAAACTGGAAGTTTGTATGAGTTGGTTTTAATATTGAAGAAAAAAAAACATGGGTAACTTTTAAATTGGAAGCATCTTATTAAAGCGCCAGTCCTGTTGTGATTTTTTTTTGTGAACCACAAAGATCTGGCAATCGCAGATAAAAATCTGTTTATATGCTGTTGTGTTTGTTTTGTTTTGTTTTCAAACTTTAAAACTGTCCATACACTGTCTTGATGCATTGAGGTGCCGTAACAGCTTTAAAATGTTTGAACTTATTATTACCGTAGAATGATTTATTCTCACATCCTATTGTAATTGTGTATTCAAGCTTAGTCCTTCCTCTTCGCGATTTTTTTTTTTTTTACCCTTTCTGCTTTATGGAAAGATTGCTTCTTATGATTGATTAATCAAGTCACATGTATTTACATAGTTCTGCTGTGTTCTAGTTTATGTCAATATCGGCTGCAGTCATTCTGTGTGAAGTGTATTCTACATCGGTTGTTAATCAATTCGATCGATGGACAATGTCCGGTTGATCCGTTACTCTATAAAATCAGGCAGTCCTGGTGGCTTTGAAACAAAATCATCCTTGACGTTATTAAAAGTTCTCCAAGTTTGCACTGCTTCTATTTGGTTCCCACGCTAACAAAAATTTGTCATTGGGGCTGGGGCACTTAAGCATCGACATCATTGGTTCTCATGGAGACTTTGACACCAATCAGGTGTTCACCGGATTATGGGCGATATCAATTACAGAGAGTGGACTTCACCTTCACGACCAACAGGTCTTACATCACACGCACGCCCTCCACAAACTTCAGAAGAACCGCGCCTTTAGGAAAAATTCCTCAGAAATATCTCATCCGAACAGCGTGAAAAAGCTTTGTTCGCTCATCAGTTGCTAATTCCATCAAGTTGTATGTAAACCAACTGTGACGCATTGCACTTGGGAACTCAAGGGAGTATGTCTTACGTTTCCTTGCCTGCTCTTCTTCTTCAGGGACCACGCCAAAAGGAGGAACCCAGGGAGGCCGAGCAGCTAGAGCTCTGAAGAGGACATCGAGGGGTGAGACGCTTCGTACCTCGACTCGTACTACACCTCCTAGAGGTAAACCTCCTAGAGGTAAACTTGGCAATCAAAGGAGTGAAGGTCATAATCACAATCAAGGTCACGGCCTGGACGATGAAGAGGTACTGGGGGATATGCCTCAATCTCCTGGGAAAAGAACAGAAACAGACTCCTTCGCTATGAGGAAGAAACGAAAAACCGCCCGTCTAGTTCTGACCGACGAGCAGGAAGAGGGCCTGGTGGAGTGGCTGCAGTCATCTCCGGAACTGTTCGACAAGAGCCACCGAAGGTACAAAGACATTGATTTGAAGAGTAACCTTTGGGAGCAGAAGGCAGACAAGCTTGGTGTGGAATCGGGAGAGGTGCTCCAAGTGTGGTACAAGTCGATGAGGACAAGGTTTGGCAAACTGAGGAGGATCACATCAGTGGGCAGGAAAAGGGAATTCACCTGGAGGGACCAATGGATTCTAAAGAAATTTGCCTTTATCTCTCCACACATCTATGCTTGCCCTAACAGAGGGACTCATCCGACGACTGGCTTTGTAAGTATTGACATATATTTTTCTCTACTTCTATACAAGATCTCTATAGTTGGTTTATAGAATATAATTCATCAAATTTTATCAAATTGCTATATGTATCATCAAGGTTGTAAAGAAAGGAAAAGGGATTAATCTGAACGTACATTTCTGTCACAATGATAATTGTACAGGTACTATATGGTTTGTAAGGAAGACAAATTGTTGAGTAGATATTTCCAGGTGGTATCTGTATACTTCACACACAGGATAAAGGCAAATATTATCTTTTTCTCTAGTTCTATCTCACACCATTGCTTATTGCATTTAGCTGTTACATTTCTCAAGTTATCCTATATTTGTCTTCATTTGCAGCCTATTAAGCATAAACTACAGTCAAAATCGGGTGGCCAGTGGTCCAATTCGCAACAACATTCTGGTTCAGAGGATGATGACAATGATGATGACCTTTACAAGATTCCAACCATTCCAATAAGCACTGCAGCGCCCTCACCTTCTGCAACCGCACCTACTGCAGCTTCGGCAACAAGCAAAGCTCCTGTGCAGATAGAGTCCATCCAGCCTTCCCCACTACCTGACCCCAATCCGGTGAAGCAGGTATCCCAGCCTGATGCACAGGCGGACCAGCTTCTCGCCGGCATCTCTGCAGCGATCCTGCCCGGCCAGAACGACAGCATGGCCAAGGGATATGGGACGTTCCTCTCCACCGTTGTGACGTCCCTGCACCCGTCACTCTTGACGCAGTTCTACCAGGAATCGTGGGCCATGGTGATGAGGTACCACACGCAGAGTGACGAGTTGAAGGAGAAGGAGAGACAGAGACCGCCTGTCCCTGTTACAGTCAGGCCTGCTCAACCCCTTCCACAGGTGTCCAAGTCCAACCCTCATCCAGCAGCCCAGCCTTCATCAAAGGTAAGGTTCATTGGGTCCTCCCATGAGTGTTTGTCATCTATCACACATATACAATTCAAATCAGTTCAATTTTTTTTTATTCATCCAATTCACAAGAATACATGGAGCCAAAAATTGGTAATATATACATGAGAAACTATATTGTTGTGTTTATAATCATAGAAGAACCATCAAAATAAAAGATAGACGAGATAGAAATATTCTTATATTCTAGAATTACACATTGAAAATGATGAAAAGGATAAAACATCATTTTCATAATTTTTAATGTATGTGACGAAATTCATGCAAATGCTTGTGTGCTATACCTTAACAGCTGAGCTATTTAAACCTGGGTAATAATATTGGAACTCCAAACTTTCTATAATGTTCATAAGTGTTATGGTCTCCTTCTATTCTGCTTCTTGTCAAAGCCTGTTCAGCATCTAGACAAGCCACTAACACAAGTATAGTTTTTTCCTTATCGTTAATAATTATGATATTTTTTCTCTCTTGAAATTAAATTACTTCATCGCTTGCATCGTATTCTTTATTTGCAGGTTCATTCAGGGCAGACCCGTCAGTCATCACAGGTCGTGATACACCTAGAAGAACGTTGCTAGAACCACTCAAACTTACAAAGTAAACGCTGTGGACCAGAAATGCCAATTCTAAGGATGCGTGTGTATGCTCATCCATACCGGTAGGAGACACCAGCATATCAAAGTGGGACAATTAGTTTGGAATCTACCAAGATTTGCATACTGAAACCTCTGGGTAGGGTACCAGTTCCTATACTGCTTCAAATATGTCATCCATATCGGTAGGAGACACTAGCATGTCAATTTGGGACAACTTTGGAATCTACCGAGATTTGCATACTGAAAACTTTGGAGAGGAATACCAGTTCCTATACTGCTTCAAATATGTTCATCCATATTGGTAGGAGACACTAACATGTCAATTTAGGACAATTTTGGAATCTACCAAGGTTTACAAACTAAAAACGCGGTAGGAATGCCAGTTCTAAGGATACGTGAATACGATCAGCCATTCCTGTAAGAGATTCTGGCATATGGAACTACAGCATTTCCGCGAACCAGTCAGCTGTACAAACAACATTTTGTACAGGAATGTCAGTTCCAATTATGCTTGAATATGTTCAGCCGTGTTAATATAGGAGGCGCAATGTCCCAGTGGTAGAGCGTTGGTCTCGTAACCGGGAGGTCCAAGGTTCAAAACCAAGTCAATTTGCCCGTGCCCTCTTGTAAGGCACTAATCCTCATTACCAATTTCCTCAGAGAGGACTTGAAGCTGTCGGTTCCCAGGTTGTTTACCCAGCATGTACATGATTTTTTAGCAGTCGGGTAAAACAATCATCGATCATCATTGATATTATATAAAAAATTGAACTTGTAAGTTTTGAACTTGAATAATGTACCGGTTTGTTTATCACATGCAAAGTGTTATTTGAGCTTTCCTTTAATTAATTTATGTTTGAAATCATTATCCCTTTTATTCAACTCATAGAGCTGCAATTATGTCATTTTTTGAAAATACAAATAACGAAGTATCGCAATGCTCTCATTTGCAAATCGATGTGAAATTGAATGTAAATCCTAATCAGGTAGGATTACGTCTTGCATTAGTTGGTGATACAGTCAAACCTGCTTTAGCAACCACCTGTATAGATAGACCATCTTTCTAAATAGACCACATTTTTATGTTTCCCTTGAATAGAATTTCTCTTGAAACTTAAACTAGAAGAACCTGGGAATATCATTAATGTGTTTACAAGTCTGCACACAGCGAACCTGTAGGCCTATCAAGAAATACCCCCTAGTCTCTAGGAGAGTCTTTGGGCCAGGCAAGAGTGAGATAATGACTTAACCATATTGATATTATGGAGGAATGCAAATCATTACATAAGGCCTATTGGTCATCAAACTAAAGGCTTATCCTGATATTGGGTCAACACCTGAATGGTGTCAAATTTCCCATAAGAGCCCACTCCTTTGTGTCTTTAAAGTGACTCATTAACATTGCCTCAGATTCTGAAACAAAATCCTGGATTTAGCTCATGCTGCAATCATACCGGTAATCATAAACCTTTAGGTCAGTCAGGAATCCCATGACTTTTACTAGCCGATCACCTCTCTGATTATCAAGATATTTATGATTGGAAATCGAAATTTCATTTTTCATTTTTTTAACAGTTGTTATAACACCAGTCTATTGGGGAAAATGAGTATGGATGATCATTTTGAAGTGCAATTTGATAACACTGATAACTCGTAGGGCCATGTATCTCAGATTTAACATTGTTAAACGATGCCCTTAAGGATTGTTGTGG